AATATTATATATATATAATATATATATTATATATATATATATATTTTATTATATATATATATTAGATATTATATTATATATATATATATTATATATATATATTATATATTATTTATTATATATATATATTATATATATATATATTATAATATATATATATTATATTATATATATTATATATAAATATATAATATTATATATATATTTATATATATATATAATTTATATAATTATATATATATATAAATATTATATCATAATTATATATTATCTATTATATATATATATATATATATATATTATATTATATATATATATATTATATATATATTATAATTATATATATATATATTATTATATTATATATTATTATATATATATATTATATATATATATATTATTTACTAAATATATTATATATATATATAGATTATATAATATATATATTACTATGATATATATTTTTAATATATATTATTATATATATATATAATTTATATATATATATATTATATATATCATATATATATATGTAATATCATTATATATATATATATATATATTATATATATATATTATATATATTATTATATATATATATATATATCTATTATATATATATATATATATATATATATATATTATATATCTTATAATATATACTATATATATATATATATTGTATATATTATATATTATAATATATATATATAATATATATATATCATTATATTATATATATATTTATTTATAGTTTATATATATATTATATATTATTTATTATATATTATAAATTATTTATATATATATATTTAATATATATATTATATATATATATATATATATATATATATATATATATATATATATATAGATATGAATCTGTGGCCTCTTATTTCCTCTTGGAATAAAAAAATAAAAAACCTATATTTTCATGTTAACTTGATAAAACACTATTATCATATCTTCTCTCCTCTTTCCTCCTCTTAGCCAGGCGTGGTCAACATTTGTGCCTTTCCAGCTAATTGATCATAGTTGATAATTTTTTTTTTTTTCTGGGATCCATTTTGTAGTTTTTGGGAGTTTTTTTTTTTATCTACTCTACTTTTTTTGTCCCATGTTTACTACATCAGTAGCTGCACTATTCTATTTTTGGCCTAATATGGTATATTGTAAACAGATTCTTCAAGCATCTCCTCCATCCATTATACTGTTGTGGAAAAGCAATTTTCAGTTACCTAGTGTTTCGTATTGCATTTCTTAAAGAAACACTTGGTTTGCATTTTATTCTGTCTCTCATTTCAGTTTTAATAATGCCCTTTTATTCCTACCATGTGTAGAAGTTTTCCATTTTTTTTTTTTTTTATAAGGAAAACTCCTCAAAAGCTTTTTGACAAGGTTGATAATACAATCTGCTCATCATTTTTTCTTGAACATTTTGTGTTTTCTATATGCTTATTAGGATATATATACGAAAATTTCAGACTGAAAACGGAAAAAAGGACTCTTTTTAAGTGTTTTGGCCACTGTCCTCTGTGGCTTTTTGAAAGATTTTTTTTGCAATTATAATTGTCAGGAAAAAACTGGCTTTAAGTTGTAAAGTCTTTATTCATTTTTCTTAAAATACTGTATTGGCACAGTGTGTTCCATTCTTCCTCTTAATCTGCCAGTTTACTCTTTGTAGTGAACCATTAAAACAGTTTTGAACGTAGGTAGCTTGGTTTGTTTCACTTTCTTTTAAAACCTGTGTTGCTTACCTCTTCTGCTCCTGTTTTGAATTTTTTTTTCGAACATCCTCTGATAATTTCTCTGTAAATAATTCTTTTTTAGTGATCGTCACCATGGTGTTGTTCAGTTGTGTTTTATAGATGGGGTTGTAAGAATAATGAATGTTCAGGTGCTTGGCAAGAGGTTTTGGGCCTAAAAAGGTAACTCCTACTTTGTGTTTAGATTCTTTATCACAGTTGCTTTTTTGCTGATGGACACCTGATTTTGAGAGCATTTCTTGAGGAGGCAGTTGCCGAGGTTTCATGGAAGGGAGTTGTAGGGTATGTAAAAGCACAGGAAATTAAAAGTGAATCATAGGAAAAAGTAAAATGATTGAGGATAAAAACAATTTAGGTAATGAAAGATGGATATCAGATTGGATGAGAGGGAGGTATGGATGGATGATGAATGTATTTTCAGTTAATTGAGGGGTGGGTTGTCAGCAGATGAGTATACGAAAGACAAAGTTAATTCATAGAATTGATGAGGGGAGGGAGGAAAAAAGGGTGAGTGTTTTACTGCACTGAGGAGTCTGAAGTCAATGTTAATCTATGGGAGCAAAGAGGAGAATGTATGGAAGTATATGTTTTTAAACAGTGGAGTGGAAACCGCGTTTTTTCCTGCTGAATCCATTCTAGAAAGTCTGACAACAAAAACCGAAAATCGTAGGAAAAACTGGATAAGCAATTATTTCCTTCAAGAAACGATGGTTGGTAAATCCAATCAATCCGTTCCAGACACCCAAAAATACTAACAAAAAATACATTTTGTGGAGAATAACTATAGTTTTACATACAGAAAACAATGAGAAATAAATATAAATGACTAACGAAATTGATAAACATTTAACGTCACTTTTACCTTTATTGAAGACTCTTGTTGGCATATGGAAGACGGCGAGGAGGGGTGAGGAGGAGAGGTTATTGTTTGGAAGGGGAATCCCCTTCCATAAGGACTTAAGGTATCAAGGCCCTATCTGGAGTTACTTCCCTTCTTTGTCTTTTACTGGCACTAGGACCAGCTTGAAAGTCACTGTACCCGTCACACAAAAACCTGTCCAGAGAAGTCCGTCTCTGTAAGATTTTCTAAAACTGGACAAGGCATTGTCATTGAACATGTTGCAGACACGGCTTGCAACAGCTTTATTAGGGCGATATTCCTCCACAAAACTTTGCAACTCGCACCACTTTGCCCACATGACTTAAATCATTGAAGAAGGCATATTCTCCCCTCTCTCTTCCTCCTCCTCTGAAGCAATTTCCTCAGCTGCAGTCTGTTGCTGTTCCAGTTGAAGGTCTTGCAGCTCTTCAGTGGTTAGCTCTTCCCTGTGGTCGTCCACCAACTCTTCCACATCCTGGCCACTCGCATCCAACCCCATGGACTTCCCCAAAGACACAATATTCTATTGTGTTTCTTGCCTTTATCAAAGGGCTGGCACTCGGAACTTTCTTTGGCCCCATGGTGGCTTATTTAGCAGTTGCACTCAATAAACAAGCACAAAAAACAGTGGATTATTACAAAATGTTTTGGATGAACGCGTGGGGTGATGCTCACTCAACGAGAAACAAAGGCAGACTGAGTCATGACCACATGGGATGCTTTGTAGGGGTGCTTGAGTGGCTGAGTCACGCAGATGCATTTGGTACGGACCATTTTCAACTCTACGAAAACTGATTAGATGTACGAAAACTGGAACAAAATTTCGACAAAAAGAAGTTGTTGAAAACCAAATCCTACGACAACTGCGGCATATGAAAACAGAGGTTCCATTGTACTAACGCTCTTATGTGGTTGTGAAGCATGGGTGATGAATGTTGCAACAAGGAGAAAGCTGGAGGCAGTGGAAATGTTGTATCTGAGGGCAGTGTGTGGTGTGAATATTGTACAGAGAATCTGTAGTTTGGAAATTAAGAGGAAGTGCAGGGTTACTAAGTGTGTTATCCAGAGGGCTGAAAAGGGGTTGATTGAGGTGGCTCAGACAGAGAGGATGGAACAAAATAGAATGACTTGGAGGAAGGAAGGCAGGGTAGGGTTTGGCCTAGGAAAGGTTGGAGGGAGGGGAAAAAGGAGGTTTTGTGTGTGAGGGGCTTGACTTCCAGCAAGTGTGCGCAATCGTGTTAGATAGGAGCGAGTGGAGACAAATGGTTTGCATGACTTGATGTGCTGTTGGAGTGTGAGCAAAGTCACATTTACAAGGGATTCAGGTAAACTGGTTAGCCAGCCTTGAGTCCTGGAGGTGAAAAGTATGGTGCCTGTACTCCGAAGGAGTGATCCCCCCATATTTCAAGATTAGCAAGCAGTGAGGACTACACTGCAAAATGTGAAAAACTTAATTATTTCAGATAAATTAAGAATTAAGGAAACTCTTAAGCTGTTTTCAAGGTATCATGAATCTAATCCTATTTTTCCCGTATATTTTTCAGTCCTTATTAACTCTGATTCACACTAACAGCATGTTTTCAAGAGTGTAACCCTCACAATAATTTTTTTCTTTACAGTTATGTGAAAAATAGCATAGATTTACTTAAGCTTTGATGAGGTACTTGTCTTTGTGATTTTTTTAAAATTTTGTGATGTATATGATCTTATTAAAAAAAAAATGTACTGCTCTTGATAATTGGATACATCACTTCTGATATTGTATTAATTCATCTGACCACTGTCATTTTTTTATGGATGTTTGCCATTTATAGTCTTAACCTTCCTTTGTATCTTACCTTTTCCTGCTTATCAAGGCCATCTCGGTACTTTAAAGCTACATATTTTTCTTTTATATAATGAGTGTGAGCAGTGTAATATTTTGTGAAGGGATTCAGGGAAACCAGTAAGCTGGACTTGAGTCCTGGAGGTAGGAAGTACATACAATGCCTGCACTTTAAAGATGTTTAGAGTGACATCTAAACTGTCATATCTGCATGTCACTTCAAAGACGGTGATAGTGTGAATGACGGTGAAAGTGGTACACACTGGCCATCTCCCACCCTGCCTCGGTGGGAGACGGTCAGCGTGTTAAAAAAAAAGTTTACTTTCTAGTATGGCCATTATGGTTGCTTAACTGGGTTACTGTGTTAATCATGATATAGTCTATGTGCTAACACACTATTGGCAGTCTTTTGTATTTCATTTGGCCAAGTTTCACATGTTAATGAGTTCTTTAGTGTTTGTGGAATTCGGATATAAATGCTTGAACAGAGGTGTTAAAGGCTTTTTTGGCATTTCTTTGTGTGTTTTAGGTACTGAAATTCATAGTGTCCTCTATGCGCTCTCCTGAAGAGATGGCAATGTTACAAACCAATCAGGAGGATGAAGAGAAGTTTCGTCAGGAGTTCCAGGAATACCAGGAGAAGACGAAAAAAGCACGTGATGAGTGAGTGTTTGTCCTCCCTCACTCCCTCTCCCATGTATTTTTTTTTTTTCAACTCTCATAGGTTTAATTTTTTCTAGTTTCCTACTTGATCCTTTTCTTGTAATATGGATTCTTTTATATTTTCACAGGTTTTAGGTAGTATTATACAGTCAAAAAAATTGACAGCCAACCTACCACATGTGCAAACGTGTCTTTTGTGAAATTAAGTGAATGTATGTCACTTCCAAGTCTGCAACAAATTGGATTTCAGGTATTTGAGTTGATGAGCTTCTTGCTCTTTCTTCTCTATACTCACCTCCAGCAAGTGACAGCCTGTGGGTATGAGAAGCCTACCTTCCACACCCAGATACCCCTGGGGGTGGAAGTATTCCTTAGATAAGGCTGGGCTTTAAAATGAGCTAAGGTAGGACAACAGCTCTTAGCTTGTAACATTAATTTGTGTAAAAAAAAAAAATCACCAATACTTTGGCACACCCCTAATATTAATGTTCTAAAAGAAATGAAAAAAAGATGTTTGGAAGAAGTGAGGAAAGCATAGTAGATAACGTGATACAGGTCATGTTTGTTCAGCACTGTACCCATACTGGACGACCCCCTTTTCCCCCCTAACCTTTCCAGTATCTTTCTGATCTTTTTATTGAAGCTTTTAAATAGGTTTACCATTATAAATAGAGGAAAAAGTTAAAATGAAATGGGAAGGGTAGCCAAGACAGGAAAACGAATTATGAAGAGTGGAAATTTCTGCTGGAAGGAACTGAGGATCACAGATGTGAAGAGCATGGAGAAAGAGGGAGATAAGAACACTTTTCTTGACAGGGGAAGCATGATAGGACATTGAGTCCCTCTTCACCAATGTCCCTCTTGATGATGTCCTTGATTTTCTTAGAAGGCCCATGTAGGGTTTCTTCATCTCCCTATACCTATTGATGTCTTTCTTGATCTTATTTGCATCTGTGTGGACTCTAATTCCTTTTCCTTCCAAGGGAAATACTATTCTCAAACCTTCGGTGTTGCTATGGGCTCTCCTTTCTCTCTTGTCCTTGCTAATCTTTACATGGAATACCTCGAGACTGTTCTTCCTACCATCGATGTGCGCCCTTCACTCTGGCTCCACTATGTAGGTGACATCTTTGCTCTGTGGCCTCATGACCCTTGTTTCTTCCAACCTTTTCTTGAAGCTCTTAATAATCTTGCCCCTTCCATTAAGTTTAAAGCTGAATGGGAATCTAATTCCTTGCTTCCTTTCCTTGATGTCCATGTCCACCACTCAGATACAGGTTTTTCCTTTTCCCTTTACCGCAAACCTATGCACAGTGGCATGTACATTCACTACTTTTCCAAGGAAAGTGTTCTTATCTTCCTCTTTCTCAGTGCCCTCTGCATCTGTGATCCTCAGTTCCTTCCAGCAGAAATTTCCACTCTTCATAATTCGTTTTCTCGTCTTAGCTACCCTTCCCGTTTCATAGACTCTGCCCTCTCACGTGCTAAACATAATTTCTTCTCTTGCAAACTCTCTACTCCTGGGAACTCTTCTGTCCTCTGCCTTCCCTACATTTCCGGTCTTTCTAATCTCAACAACTCTCTCTCCGTTCCTTAGACATCAAGCTTACTTTCCACCAGACTAACACTCTTCGCACTAATCTCGTTCATACCTGTCCTCCCTCTACAGATGTTCCTGGTGTCTACTCTATTTCTTGCTCCTCCTGTCCTCTTCAATACTTTGGAGAAACTGGCCGATCTCTTTCTGACAGATTTAGGGAGCACAAAAATTGTGTTAGGCTTGCCGACACTAACAATGCTCTTTTCTGTCACATCAGAGATGACAGCCATCCAATTGACTGATCTGCTCCAACTTTAACAGTCGCTGTCTGGTTGAATCCTCCCTAATACACAACTTTCCTTGTATGAATCTTAATCCTGGCTTCATCTCTGTAGATGCCTTCCTCTCCCACTACATTGTAAAATGCTCCAAACTTCAGAACACCCGTGACTTAACTTGATTCCTCCTTTTTCTTCTCCCTCTTTCCCTTTCCTCTTTCCTTTTTCCTTTTTCTTTTCTGGGTTGTCTGTCTTTCTTCTGCCTTGTGTTTCTGTTCGTTCATTATTTATTTTATTATTTCCCCCCCTGACTTCTGTGTTCTTGCTCTCCCTCTGTGGGCACCTAGCTCCCTTGCAGTGCTCCTCTTTCTTAGTATTTGACTGGCTCCTCCTCCTTACTTCCCCACCACTACTTCCTTCCACTGCCGCCGCCGCCACTGCTGCTTCTGCTGCTGCTTCTGCTGCTGCTTCTTCTGTTGCTTCTGCTGTTGCTTCTTCTGCTGCTTCTTCTGCTGTTGCTTCTGCTTCTGCTTCTTCTGCTTCTTCTTCTGCTGCTGCTGCTGCTGCTGCTGCTGCTGCTGCTGCTGCTGCTGCTGCTGCTACTGCTTCTTCTGCTTCTTCTATACCCTTCCTGCTCTACTTCTTGTTAGTGTGACTTTGCAAATGGTCCAAGTCAGACCGAAACGTCGCCGTAAGCTCCTCTCTTCTATGTGTGGGTTATTTGTGTACCGTTCCAGTCATGGTAGTGTGCCTTTTTTTTTTTTTCTCAATTAAATCACGACACTAACAGAACTTTTAAATTTGGGGCCGTGATAGCAAAAGGGGTTAATGAAGCATACTGTACGTTTTTAATAACTGAAATAATGTAAAATCTGAAACCACTTTCAAAGAATGATTATCCCCTCATATGGATATGTGAGGAGTGCCTGCACTCTTGAAGGAGGGGCTGGGATGATGCAGTCAGAGGGTAATCCGATCATGATGTCAGCACACTTTTGGAAAGATAGTGGTTAAATGACTATGGTGAACGTGTTTTCATTTTTGGTCTCCTCATGGAAGACCCATTGAGTTAAAGTACCTGTAAGGTAGATCTGAAAAAATTAGAAAGGCAAAATTGTGTTTTGAAAAAAAAAAAAAAACTTAGGTCTCTAGTCTGCCTCATATATAGAATTATCAGTGGTTTATTAATTAAAATCATTGTTAGAAGGCAGCTGTGGAATAAACAGCCATCTGTTGGTATCCAACATTGGAGGTCATACATAGATTGATAAGATAAAAGATTTGAAGAGTTTCCAACATGGCATATGTCATTCAGTATCATATTTAATATTGCTTTTTCATTAAGTTTTTATGCTTGCTGGAGAAAAGAAGTAATATTCTTTCTATGCCTATATCTAAGGATAGGATGGTACCAAATTGTTTGCAGATACCCAGTTTTTGACCAATATCTTTTTTTTTTTTTTTTTTTTTTTACGGTATGATTAACATATTCAGTATAACTCGTGGCATCATTATAACGTGACTGCAAATGAACCACAGAACGGGTGGGCTTTGAACCCAGTGAACCGAATGAATAAGGCACTCGGACATCTGGCCAAGTGGCTTATTCACTGTCCTGGAATGTATATAGTGTTTATTTCAGACTGTTTTTAAATTTAAATTTTCTTTAATTTTGTAAAATTGGCCAGATTGTCGACCATTCCCAGGAATTTTTTAGCAGATATCAACGAGATCAAAATCTGTCGATACCCATCAGTACCATTAGAACTTACCAATACAGTGATACCTCGAGTTTTGAACAGATCCCAACTCGAACAGTCATGTAAGTGTATTTTTGTAAATGCTTTTGTAAGTGTATTTTTTGGGGTCTGAAACAGACTAATTTAATTTACACTATTCCTTATGGGAACAAATTCGTTCAGTATCGGCACTCTAACAGTCTTCGGGAACGAATCAAGTTCGTAACTCGAGATACCACTGTACAGTAGGGCCCCACTTATTCGGCAGGTTAGGTTCCAGGCTACTGCTGGAAAGCAGACTTCACCAGAAAGCAGAACTCCATTTTTTCCATTTATAAATCCATATAAATGCCAGATAACAAGTTTACACTAACATATATTATGTTAACAATAGAACTAAGCATTAAAAAGTAAAATACACACACAGTACACTCATTATTTACCTCAAAATATTTGTAGTCTTAATGTAAGGCAAAAGGTGAGTAGTATTTACAATAAGAAGTCAAGTGTGGTAGCCCTCCTGGCCACCCCATCCACACATATTATGCTACAATGCTTAAAGCTCCCTGGAGCAGTGAAATGCATATAGAGTACACGCATTACTCACCTTAAAATATTTGTAGTCTTAATGGTCTTAATGTAGGGTGAGAGGTGAAAAGTATTTATTTGTAGAAAGTCGTGTGGGAGGTATGGCATCCTGCTGGCCACTTATACCTACTATGACATTAAGCTCCCTAGAGTGATAAAATGCATATAGAATAGTACACTCATTAATTACCTTAAAATATTTGTAGTCTTAATGTAGGGTGAGAGGCGAGTTTTATTGGTATGAAGTCAGGTTGGGAAGTATGGGTAGTCAGGAAGGGCAGCCCTCACCACCCCACCCACACATAATGTAAACAAACCAGACGAATGCGTCTGTTTTCGTCACTTTAAATTGTGTACAAGTTGCCTGGCTACCGCAAGTCCTACAAGTTCCCTGGCTACCGCAAGTCCTACAAGTTGCCTGGCTACCGCAAGTCCTACAAGTTGCCTGGCTACCACAAGTCCTACAAGTTGCCTGGCTACCACAAGTCCTACAAGTTACCTGGCTACCACAAGTCCTACAAGTTGCCTGGCTACCACAAGTCCTACAGGTTGCCTGGCTACCACAAGTCCTACAAGTTGCCTGGCTACCCCAAGTCCTACAGGTCGCCTGGCTACCACAAGTCCTACAGGTCGCCTGGCTACCACAAGTCCTACAGGTCGCCTGGCTACCACAAGTCCTACAGGTCGCCTGCTACCACAGTCCTACAGGTCGCCTGGCTACCACAAGTCCTACACGTCGCCTGGCTACCACAAGTCCTACAAGTCGCCTGGCTACCACGTCTCATGTTTGTTAATTTATTCTACTGTGGGGTGTGTTTAGATGGATTAAGGAAAATGTCTATATTAATGTTTTAT